TGTCATTATGTGTCTAACATGAAAAGGTCCGGGATGCTCCTAAATAGCCTGCAATGCACAGGAACACTCCCCTCCACAAAAGAAGACCAGATTACCTGGCCCAATAGCGCAAGGTTGCTAAACTCTGAAAAATAGTCACTAACCTCCCCCAACCAAAAACAACAACGACAACAACAAAACCCAGAATTATCCAGCCCAAAATTTCAATAATATAAGGTTGAAAAACCCTGAAATACAGTCATTTACCACAAATAGTTTATAACCTAGAGAGGTAAAATTAATTCGTTATTATAATCTGTGAACAAGAAAGCAGATGAATACTATTAGCCAAATGTCACTGAAAATTTATACATCAAATTGGTAAAATATGATCTTTACCATAAAATGATGTCACATTTAGGTTGGAGGGTAAACAGAATTTCAATGGTTCCATAACAATAATCAGCATATACCATTACAGGCAGCATTATGTCATATTTTAACTTCTGAATGAGAAACATTTTTAGTATGTGTATCTGAAAGTGTAGGTACAAAAAGGCTAAAACACATATCTAAATTTACAATGGACATTATACAACTCTTTTCATATTATTTGATTATGATTATTATTAGTTAAAACCACGCATCTAAAATTTTGAGTACAATTCCAAACACAAAATAGGATAAATCATAGTAGTTCAAATTTCTCCAGTCGAAAAACTCTATACACAGATATTTGTTGGACTGAGTCTGATGACATTTGCTTCCAATTACTGCAATTACATGATTGACAAATAAGCTACCATCAAAGACTCTCAAAGATTTTATACACTTTATCACTTTGAATAATCCTACCCCATTCTGAACCAAAATCCTGCAACTACCTATCCATCAGAAAAAAATTCTCAGCAGGATCATCTGAAGTGTAGTTAAAAATACACTTGCATGACCCAATCTCAACGATTTTCATTTGGTAGGACTGGTGCAGGCCTTCAGAATCTGAATTACCAACGACTATCCAGGTAATCCTAATGCAGATAGTCTACAGACTACATGCTGAGAAACACTGATATCTGACTGCTTAAAAAGCAATCTTTGAGGATTGAAGCAATATCTATAAAAAAGCCAAACCTTCGGTATTCTATAGGTAGGCATAGAATAATATTGACAGATGGCTTGAAAGAAAAATTTAATTTCTTTACCTGTTTGATTCCAAGTTCTACTAAAATGTCTGTATTTGAGCTACCTTAAAGAATTTAAGATAACTTGGAGAATGACAAGCCAAAAATCTACTTGTAATTTCTAAGTTTTTGAATACCTAACAACTTTTTCTCCACAGCACATAAAATATCTCCTTGATGCTATATTTAAGTGGATAATCCATCACTGACAATAAACTTTAAATAACACTAGACAATTTGCTTATCTTTATCGGTTATTGTTATGTCTCTCCAGACAAGAATGTAAGTTCCATGAGAACAGAAATTTTTACATTTTGCTAGGTGGTGTATCCATCCTAACATATGATAAGTACATTCAAATCTGCTAAATGAATGAATGCTCACTCTACTCTCCCCTTTTTACAAAGGGATGATTTTTTCAATAAACCATGTTTGGATGATTCAAGTAGCCACAAGGATTTATAAGCAAGCATCACCATGCAGGTTGGGATGTAAGTTGTGAGAGAGCAGTGGAGGAGGTTTAGTATTCCATATCCAAAGAGTAAATTATATAGAGTGCATAAAAGCATCTATGACAATGCCTAGCAGCAGGTGGTCCTCAGTATATACTGGTTCACCTTTTCCTTTTCCCAAGGCTAGATGGTTTGCTTGAGATACATGTATGTTTCCTACACTGCTACCTCTATAGAGATTTTTTTCCCCTCCTATTAATTCAACATAATACAATGCTAAGTGAACAAAAAATAAAATTTATAAACAATCATGGCACAGAGGCAAAAATTAAACCGCTGAATAGTTCAAGAAAAATTAAATTTAAAAAGCCCCATCATAAAGTACCTAAAAAGTTGCAAACTGGATATGAAGCCTAAAGACTTATAAGAATATAACCTTTTAGTCATAGCATTTAAAACATTTTCTTCTTTAAACTATCTAGCAAAAAAAATCCTGCCTACTTTTTCCATTATCATAGTGCCACTTAATAAGTAGTAGTACATAGGAGCACTTAATATTGAATAATAAACCAATGAACTAGATCTGTAACAAAAAAATTTGATTTATTGTAAATTGTTAGTTATCATGAAAGCATCACATGACTAGTTTACTATTAAAATTTTTACTGATTTATATACATTACTTTTCTCATTGACTATTTTTCTTTATATCCCCAAACTCCTTTACACATGACTCTATTACTTCACTGAATGATTCAAGTGATCACAAGAATCTGCCATTTTTAAGACTTTATTGTACTTATTGGTGTATTTATCTTTCTTCCTCTATTAGGTCGTAAACATTTCTAGGACAGATAGGATTTGTTTGGGTCTTTCTTTAATCTCTAGAGATTAGCATAGGGCTCGACAAACAGGAGTTAGAAAATAAATACTGATTGAGTGAATAAATAAGTAAATGCATCTATGAATGAATATATGTATGCAGGTCTAATCAACATATATATCTAGACACAAGAACTTACTTTCATGAGCAATAGCTGAAAGCAGTAACTTCCTAAACACTGTTAAAAGCTTATTTTAAGAAATATTAATTCAAGTATATTAGCCTTTCTCTAACAATTTCCTGCCATTTATCTCTTCTTCTCTCAAAATTTCAACAATTCATTTGTGTGACTCAGTAATTCCAGCTCTAACATCTTACCTACACTCTAGATTCCCTATTCACAAACATCAGTAAAGCGAAAGACCACGAATTCAAAACATCTAATAACTTCAAAACACATGCAAAATTAAGCTGATTCTTTTCCATATAACCATTGGTTATATCATTCAGCAACTATGCTAAGAATCTTATATACCACTGTTCTTATTGTTCTTTTTTTTTTAAAACAGTGCAAAGCCAATCTATTATATATCTGTGATTTTACTCTTGAAAATGTTTCTAAGAATTACTGTTTCCACTTGCTTCTACTGCTACCACCCAACCCTGGGATCCCAGCATCCCACAATGGACTCATAAACAGTCAACTTAGATGATCTTCCTATCTCTGTGCTTTTTCATACTACGAGTTGTTGCCAAATGTATTTTTATAAATTCATTTGTCTTCTCAAAAATGTGCATTACCTCTCTAGTGACCATTGATAAAATCCAAAACACTTTGACTTGGGAGGCTCTTGACAATCTGGCATTACCCTTTGGCACCACATATGCGCAGCCATTGTGCTGGGGGTTTGAAATATAAAATATTAATACAATCTTCACAACCTTGAGGATTATCACTTTCCCTTACAGACACAGAAACTAAAATTAAGAGAGGTTAAGTACTTCCCTAAAGCCACAAAATTAGGGCATAACAAAGTTGAGATTAAAACATAGGTCTGTTTGTTCCGAAGTACAATCCACAGTAAAATGCTGATTTCCTGAATAGAAATATTCATTACATACTTCTACTTTCTTCATTTAACCAAAGGAAAAGAGAACCTAGATTTATTGAATACAAAGGATTTTACATGTGCTGCATCATTCAACCCTCAGAACAACCAATAAGAGAAGCATTACAATTAAATATGTATCAATATAGAAACCGAAGCTTAGAGGTGTTCAGAACTTTCCCAGTGTTACATACAGCAAAAGCAGAGCCAGGATTTGAATCCAGGTCTCCTTCTGAAAGCCATGTTCTTTCCAAATTCTATGATGCCTCATACTTCTCTAAACTTAATTTCTTCTTTTTCCAAATCCTTTAAGATAGGTGTTGGTAAATTTTTTCTGTAAAGGGTCATATAATCAATATATTAGGCTTTCTGGGGCATATGGCCTCTGTTACAACCACTTCGTTCTGCCATTGGGGCATGAAAGCAGCCACAGACAACAGTAAACAAGTGAGCATGGCTATGTTACCATATAACTCTATTTACAAAAATAGGCAACTGGACAGATTTAACCTATGGGCCATAATTTGTCCACCTCAGCTTCATTCTATTCTCTGGTACACACTCATTAAACTCATTTTTAACTCTAAGATTTTGCTTAATATTTTTTCCAATGTGAATACTTTCCTGATTCTCACTTGTAGTTATCCAAAGTCAATTTATCCTTCAAGTTCCTATTTATTCCTCTACCTGCCATCTCAGAATACTCAGACAACAAACTTTCTTCTTAACTCGCACAGCAATATCAATAGTTTAACATTTAACACTCTACTTTCTGTAGCTGCCTCATGTAAACTGACTATTTCAAGTGGGCTCAAAGTAGGAAAACACATCTGTCAGGCATAAGATTAATGTATACTGCATATGTACTATTCAATGGCTAATTCATTTAACTCATAAAGTATACAGTCTTAAATTATTAAGATAATTTTGACTTTACGTGAGCAAAAAAAAATTCTTCCTCCCACATTGAATACTGCTGCATATAATTAAATAATTTTCCTATGAGAACAGTAAAACAATAAACTAAGGAAAGACTTACTAGAATAGGAAGTAGCATCCATTTTTCCAACTTTAACTGGAGAACCAATGCTTTTCATCTCAAGACCAACTTCATTCCAAACTGGCTCCAGTTTTTTACAATGGCCACACCATGGTGCATAGAACTTGTTAAAAAAAACAAAAAAACAAAAAAAAAAACAGATAACCATTAAAATCGTGTGCTACTGTGAATATCAATCTTAATATTTAAAGAATCTCTTTGACTAAACGATCTGCTAATAATCTGTTTTACACAAAAAATTTAAGTTTAATTTTTAAAGTAGTTACATAACAAAAGATAAAACATACATAAACCTAGATAGGTTAACTCCTAGCATATACCCCAAAACTGATACAATTTGAAGTTCATTTTAAATGACTATTGATACCTACTTAAAACAGAATCTCATTTTAATATAAAAACCCAAATATAATATTTGAGAAAACAAATTGAGCATATACATAAGCACTAACTGTATACTGCCATCTTTAAATGGAGAATAGAAAATAGTACTTAAAATGGTAAGGGTGGGTAATTAGCATAAAGATTTATATACTCACATCTACAAGCCAAATGTCATCTTTTCGATTATCTTTAAACCTAAAGAAACAAAAAGAAAAATAAATCTTTGTATGTTGTATCTACTTTACAATTCGAAAGTATAGGTAGGGATAAAAAACTGATAAATATGGGAGCATGGAACAAATATTTTCTATAAATTTGTATGTAAAATTTTTATTCAGTGATCTCTAAAGCATACTCCATCCACTAAACACCTTAAGAATAAAAGCTAATTACTTGGTCAAAGATAACGGCAGAAAGGAAATCAACAAAAAGAATTTAAGCAGGACTCAGTAGAAACACAAATATATGCCCCCTCACACTTCTACTTTACACCTATGCAGAAAAGTTAACATAGCAGACCTGAGGCTGCTATGCTTAGAAAGACCCATTTGCAAGACTGTCCTTGGTTGGCATCTGTGACCTTGAGTTATAGAAGGGTTCCCACCATTTCCTGGAACGTGGCTCCACGTTCATTAAATGTTTGTGAAAAGTATCCAACTGGGGAATTGCTGCATTGAGATCCAAGATCGTTTGCCTGAAATGTATAGTCCAGGCTGGGATAATCTTTTATCCCACCATCAGCCTGTTAAGTTTGTCCTTTACTCTATTAAAATATTCACCCAACCCTGTGAATTAGGGATGACAATGTAAAGTCCATTGCATGCCCCATGATTGAGCCCATTGATGTGTAGCTTGGGCCAAAAATCCAGGGCCATTTTCAGATGCAATGTTCTCAGAGTATCTGAATGGGAAATAAGGATGGTCTTGTAAAGTGTGGGCCAAGTCAGTGGAACACAGGAGGCTAGCTAAGCCAAACCCAGAGAAATGTCAACTGCACACAGGATCAAGAGAAACACTATGGACTGGATAAAGGGCCCACTGGCTTGACAGAGCTGTTCCTGGGCAGTATTTTTAGCCTTAATCAGGGTCTGACAAGCAGAAAAGCTTTTTCAATCTGTTTTGGTGTCTTCTCACAACTGTGGCAAGTCCATGTGTTCTTGCCCAGTATAGGATTATGTCGTGAATTTCCATGGGCCATACTCTTGTGGATTCAAGAGGCAATTGGTGTTATATCTGCTAGCTCTGGAGTGAGGAACAATTCAGTTTCCACATTTAGCTGACAAGCATAATAAAGACCCTTCATTCGTGTAAGGTCCTTTCCGGTGAGCGTCCACATGGGTAACAAAACAATTATTAGGATCAAAACCCCTTCCTCCTCCTCAGGCAGAGTTGCCACTCTCAGGGCACACTGAAGGAGGTGGTCTGTAGTGATGCACCCCACACGCACCACTAAGTTTAGCAAGACTGCCCCCTTGCTAACAATGGTTCCCCTCAGAATCAAAGTTTCTGTAAAGAGTCCACTAGCACTCTCCAAGACCCATTAGTAAGAATGGCTAAGTGCCTCCATGGGGCAGTCAGGGTCAGGCTTTTTGCTCTTCTAGAACAACACAGTATTCAACTGACTGTACTCAACTAATTATCCTTTCACTGTCCCAATTTAGTCAGGTATCCAGGTGGTCAATTAAGGTATCCAGGTGGTCAATTAAGACAATGAGCTACACTGTAAGTAACAATCAAACCTTTTTCCACTTGTGACAGTGCAAGCCAACAGACACAAAAGATGCACCAGCTCCTCAGTGCTCCATTCTTCCCCATGAAACAGCACCAGGAGAATGCCAGGTGGATGAAGTACTGACAGGAGAATTCATCCCACTGCAGAGCAACACTGAACAAAAAGCCTTCTGCCTCTTTACGAGGAGGACAAGAGGAAAAAGGACTAGGAATGGAAAAGTGCCTCAGCTGAGGCCCTCGATAAGGATGTTTTGGCCTTGGGAAATGCCTTGCATGAGGCTCCAATAAGGAGGCCTCCAAATAGATGCCACTGGGCTAGGAGTACAAATATCCACATGAGCATGGCTGGTCTGGGGGGCCTGAGTCCTTGACTACAACTCCCTCCAGAGACTGCAATGAACTAGTTGTGCACCAACTTTGGTGTGAGGAGGGCACCTTGCCCCCAGTGGCCTGCCAGGAAAAGCCTTGTAATTGCCCACCGTATGTGTGAAAGATCACACACAGGATTTTGGTCTGGAGCCGGACTCCTCACCTACCGTAAGGAAGGCCTTGTGATTAATCATATGATACTACGAAGAAAAATATAGTGTGGTTATCGAATTCCAGCACTCAGTATAATTAAAGGAAAAGACACAACAAATACAAGGTAAAAAGATTTTTAAAAAGTTAAAATATTTAAAAAAAATTATTTAAAATATATACTCACGATTCATCTAAATCTTCTACAAATCCTTTACAGAGG